AATGGGTCGCTGGATGCGTAACAAGACTTCCTCAACCCAACTTATTCTCTGAATATGCTGGTACTGCCCAGATTTTGGTAGTGAACAATGGATCTTCACCCACGTATAAGACGATCATTTCTTCTCTCGGCGAAGAAGCCAGATATTTTGTTTACGATAATAATTCTTGCACGAGCGAATGCGGACTTTATAAGCTGGTACTGCTGTTTTGAATTTCGTCTCTGTTTTATTTCAAAAGTACATTTTCACTAGTTTTTTCTCATTTTATTAATGTAATCATTAAATTTCTACAGTTGGCCTGGGTATTGAATTAATCCTAATTTTGCACATTTTCAGATAATATGGGCTAATCTGACCGACGTCGGCTGTGCTATGAGAAAGTGCAGATATTACGATCAAAGAGATCTTAAATTTTCCCATTTCATGGTCTGCGTGTACAAGTATGCGTACGTCAGTGTTATTTTAACATCATAAACATTTCGCGCACCCGGCAACTGCGTGTGTTGAAATGAAATATCAGATGATTTGATAGGCAAAAAACCTACCCTTGTTACCTATTTGCAAATTCTTTGGATTGTGAATTTGTTAAAGCGTACCATATGGCGCATTTGCATACATATCGGCATTTTGCGAATAAACACAATACTATTTTAGGGGAAAATTTGAGGATATAAAACCGTATGAAAAAGGAGAAATCTGCAGTCATTGTGAACCCAAAGACAAATGCGTCCGTCGACAATGTGAACACATTCCAAAATGTGCCACAGGAAAGGGAAAGGAGCATCTTACTACTCAAATCACTGCGTGAAATGCAGGCAACACTAAAATTTACCTTTTACCAGACTTGGAGACAAGGCCTGGCAAATTTGATTTGTATTAACACACACTGTTGAGCTCTTTTTTCATTGCAATTAATTGCTAAATATAGTCACATTTAAAAAAAAGTTATTTAATATGCCACTCTCTTACTTAACAAAGATTCAACACAGTAAATGCTTAATTTATGAATAGGGCTCATTTCATCATAATTTTTTTCATATATTCTGGTCATCGATTTATACATGCATGCACTAAAACTTACATTTCAAACCTATTACAGAAAATATGAGCCAATTGAATATGCTTTAAATAACGGGCTGATCTCTGGTAAATATTTTCCACTCATGCATGCTGGGAATGAAATATTTTAAGCCTATTTGTTATTTGCTAACGGTTTCCACAGACAAATAAGCAACCTCATACCACAAATTTTCTCGAAGTTACAAAACATAACGACAGGCCTTGCTTCAAGGAGTGTTTCAAAGTTTAAATTAATGATGAATTTTAAGCGTCTAGCTGTTAGGTAACAATCATTGATAAAATATTTGCTCATTAATTGAGTGCAATAAGCTTTTAATCGGTCAGTTTGCCAAAATATTTGGTTATTTTTTTTTTACCATGCCTAGTCGTTCCACTTCCCCCGTTTTAGCATCGTTGTGCACCTATATATTTGAACGAAGTTTAGCGACCTGAATTAAGCACAAAACAATCTAAATAAATCAACAATTATCAATTTTGCATTTGCTTTACTATGCATTTTTCACTGTACTAGTGTCACATTATTCACTGATATATACGTAAGACCATTGTTAATGATTAAAGTCATGTAAGTGTAGACAGAATCAGTACTCCAAGTTGAAATAAAAGTTACATTGCCCTTGTATAATTGCATTTTATAGGTTTAAACTCCAACAGAAATCGTGTTCCTGTTTTAACAGCAGTAAATTTCTGACAATTTAGCTGCATATAATTAAAAAAGGTGAAATGAATGGGCAAAATTTAACACGAACGCTGAAATTTAACAATGGGAATTCTTAAGAGCATCGGCTTTTCAAAATAAATACAGTTGTAATTAAATCTGATTTGCGACCTTTCACGTTGACGTTTTTGCAGACGAACCATTTTAATAGGTGTGCTGGTGGTTGTGGTTCGTTCGTGTGCTCGTCTGTTGATCAGTAAGTTCACTTTAACGCCGTTTTACTAATTTATAAATAATTTCAGACATTCAAAGCTGGCCTTTGAGATCGATTGTTTTTTTTCCTCGCTTAATGTGACGGGCTGTTCCTGATATCAGTTTGTGTGTTTATTTTGATAGATTGGTCGCTCTAAGGTCGATCAGTAATAGAAGCGAGTTGCAAAAATGCCCACCTGTAACAGGATCTGTTGGTTAAGTTAAACTTTCCTGTCTTTGTTCCACCAGACTGGCTGCAGGGATATCGTCACCTTCCTGCTCAATCGAGGCAACCACCTACTCCACCACTTCCTGCTTCTCTAACGTCTGTTAAGAATGGCCCTCAAATGTGCACTGTGCTGCAGTCCCTGAAAGCAACTCGTCTCCCCCTTTCACATCAGCTACCTGTTGATGTCAAGCAATCGCCGATCAAGGCCCGCTTCGAGACCAACGACGGCGACGTGAATGGCCTCCTCTTAGCTTGTGCCGCTGCCTCAAAGTGGAAGATGGTATTACAAATGAGTTAACAGCCAATTGGCGTAATTAGGGAATCAAGCTCAATGTGATAAAGTCAACAGCAGTTAACGGTACAAAAGAAGTTCTTTTTAGCACGCCATGTTGTCGAGTGACTGTTGATGGTCCTCTACTCACATTTGTGGAATGCTGTTAGTGCTTTCCAAGGCTTGGTTGCGATTGGCGTTTTATATCCTTTGACCACATAAGAGAAAAACTTCAATGCCCAATCACTAAACACTTGACTCAGCACCGTAAGAAACCATTGGTTATTTGAAATTTAATACTTCACTTTGCATCTGCTTTACTCAATCGGCTCTAGCATCAGAAACACTGTTCTATAATACCTGACTACTTCATGTTTAATGCTTGGCGTCAGCAGAAACTGATTATAATGCTCTTATTCCTGATGACGAGCGATGGCCCTATGAAAAGACAAAACAATAAGTATCCGATACTTGTCACCCTGTT